GTAGATGAAGCGATGAACGATGTGGACTCTAAGACGGCATGAAATGATAAGGGATCAAAGTCTATCCCATAGAACAAAGCAACCCAAAAAGTGAACGAGTGCCTGGCGCACTCTAACCTTCCCTATGCACAGTTCTACGGCTATGGAAACAAAAAAAGCTTCTTCGCTTGTAAATAAAATATCTACTTTTCTAATCTGCCCAGAAGTCCCACTTCGGGAAGTTGATGGGAATGGAACATTCCCAAGAACCAGCCACCTACGTGGCCTTCATTGCCTTCCCAAATACGATTTTTTCCAGCTCAAATCCGCCCTTTTCCAAAATTTCGAGCGGTTTTAGCTGGGGAGCTAGCCACCTGGGGAGTAACCTAGCTACAGGGGTCCCAAAGGAAATTTCTCACTCATCCAATCACCCATAATCCTAGGCGATAGAAATTCCCATCAAATCCCTTTTCTAACCAATTCAATGAGAAAGCGAGTTGGATTTTTCAAAACGTTGTTTAGCAAGATTCTCTCGAATTACGGTAGCCGTGTATTGTGTCCGACACGTTTACAGCGTCGAACAATAAACAATGTAATCGTGTTTACGAGATGTTGTTTCGCCATACGACCATCCGTGAAACTTTGCCAAAATTGTGTTAACGGATCGTCGCCGAATTCGGGTTGTTTTCTCAGTCAAAGGCCGGCCTAGGGTGAATACATGGGAACTCGTTTACTTCGGGACTTTGACTTTTTCAGCGATATTTCTTGTTTTTGTTTATTGCCAATCTAGCGGAAATTCGAAAGCGATAGCGTGAGATCGGTTTCCTACTATTCAGATGGAACACACGCAATCCATTAGCATGTTGGGATTGCAATCGGCTGAGCTAATTATAAAGACTGCACAATTTTCCAATTATTTAGTAAATATTTGCAGAAAATATATAAAAATCTTCCCCATAGGGAAGAAAAGGGGAGCGGGAGTGGGGACTGACTACCTCAAGGAAGAATTCCTAAATCGGGAAGTACAGCAGCCGACATTTGATATGAGACCCATTCTGTTGATGACTGGGATCGTTGCCCATCGGAAGGCTCCTGAACTCCCACTTCCATGCCAGTTTCTTGAATGACTCCCAGACATTCATTGGGCACTGGTAGGTCAGACATCACTCTCACTTGTCATTTCAGAACAATGTTTCGCCGGTTTTCAATTTCCGGTCTTCGGCCGAATGTCCGTTGGTGGCCTTGCCCACATGTCAGTTTAGGGCCGCGTAATCCCGAAGCGCTCATGTTTGCACTCACTTCGACATTGATATATGACGGTTGAGAATCTCTTGAGATTGCCTCTAATCCCGACCCGATTCGATCGAAGGCATTTCTACGAATTTCTTTCGAAAGTTGAGTTTATTCAGAAGAAGTTGGGAGTTTGAATTGTTTATTTAGTGGTTCAATCGGAAAGTACCAACCAGCCCACGTAGCTCAGTAGAGCAATCGTGACTGAGTGCTCTCAAAATTCTCAACTATCTGCAGATGAGGAGAAGCAGGAAGGGGGCTTTTGATGCCTGACTGGGTAAAACCAAGGGTAAACCTTCTCTGAGTGGTAGACCTGCCACGTTAAATCGGTATTGCAAGTCTACAGGGTCCGTCAAAGTCCCAGTACCATTCAACCATACCAAAATTTAATCAAAAAAAGGCAAATGTGTGGCGTAATCCGAATATCCTTGTCTTTCCACTCATTAAAGCCCAAAGCTTCAATATTTATTCATTGACAGACGGCCGATGAACTGGTTTCGGGTACGAATTTCTTTAGCGTACGACTGAGTCGAGATAATAGATCTTCCTAAGCCGCTAAAGATGCCATGAGAGCAAAGTAAACAAGTGGCAGAAGAGTAAATAACCATTTCGTAAGCAACTTGATTACTTTTTGCTCTGCATCACATTCTCTGCATACAGATACCTTCAATTGTACTAAACGTCACTCCAAAGGGTTTTACTAAGCTATACGAGGGACTGGCCATTTCGTAGACTCTGAAGAGGGTTCCCGTCTATGTCCATCTCTGGAGGAAACCATTAGCAGTGGTAATTAGGTTTTGTAATATCTCCCTTCGGTTCTGAAAATTGTTCCGTGTCTCTAATTTAATTCATTTGGGGCATTCCAATCCTTCTTTGTACTTTCGATTACTGTAGAGCCTAAGTACGGTATGTGGGAGTCTTGGAGTAATTATAATCGTGAGATACTGGCCTATAGGGTAATGGCATGGGAAAAATGTACAGCGACTGCAATACTAGGAATAACCAATATCGGACGGGGAACAGGGAGCCCGGGGAGAAGGCTCCGATTCGGGATCTCTACTTCACCAGTCAAGAACCATACCGTGGTTTGGCAACCTTGTCAGACATACCTTCACTACCGTTCTGTAGTCAACCACATCGGCTTAGAGGTACAGTAACCAGTTGACCGCCGACGAATATGGCACATCCGGGCAGTTCAAAAGACGAACTCGGGAAGGGAGACTGAAACTTGCTAAAGAATCAGCCCTCCATCGAGCTGTGGGGCTACTGTATCCATCTGGCCAAATATAGCCATAGCCGGGAACGGAATCCGCTTGGAATAGGTCTCCAACCCCTTGTCAGCCAATTCGGTGACTTCGATCCTTTCCTTTCTCGTCATTCCGTCCAACTCAGGGCCTCCTTCCCGTGAGCTCTCTACTGTGACAAAAAGCCACTCCATCTCGGCTATATCTGTCCTCATTAAAAAGTTGGTATGCAGACGGCAGCAACACGACAGCATGCCGGAAAAAAACGGGCGCCAGCTGACGTTTGCTCCATCAGGCGGCTACAAAACTTTGCTGGCCATTTAACATTCACCTGCGAAGTAATCCGTGGAATTTCAATCATTTACCAAAGTTCCTCATGCAAATTTTGCTGACGTAAATGAGATCCTGAAAATATCGCAGCGGCGACACATGCCTACGCCACATGCCTTTGCACTTTTTCTCAATTACAACTCCGGATCTTTGAAACTGAAGCCCGATATAAGGTATCCACTGAAGGAAAGACATGACGTCAGGAAAATATGAGGCCAATTAAGGGCCATAGCCAATAAACGGCCATATGTGTCAGCATGTCCTCCATGAAGTACATGAAGTACGATTCCCCCTTATTTTCGGTCAGAAGCCATTCTACTCTACTGTTGTCTGAGAAAGACAAAAAGTTTTTAAACGGAAATAGGGAGGGGAAAGGGTTGGAGGTAGGGAACAACGTCATGACTGCCCTAACTGCTACTGAACTCCATACTATGGCTAGGTCCGCACAAAAACTAGGCCAAAGAAACGTAAACCGCGAGTACGCCATGCTTTTGACTCTAATTCAGAACTTGGATTGCATTTGAAGGCGTTCCACGCCTACACAACTGTACTTGAGGAAAAGTAGAATTTTAGCCCTTCAAAGGGTTCCAGTAAGGAACGCCATTTCCTTATGATAATAATCTCGGTTCAATTGGTCCTTACCCGAGTGGGGACTTGATCTTGTGGTCATGCGTACACTAACAACGTCGCTAACCACTCTACTTTGTAATCTAGGCAGACCCAGTTGCAGCATTCATAACTTTTCTGTACATTAAAGTACAACCTTCCACTACAAGGAGCTGGAGTCTCATTGTTTAGCTCTGGGTGAGCAACCGCTAAAGCTAGGGTAGGAAAGAGGCATATCCCCATAACGATGGTTGGAACCCAGTGTGCAGTATTTTATATAAGTACGGGATAAATTGCTCTGGCAGTAACTATATATTACTGTAAGAAAATAATACTAATAATTACCGTATCTAACTATGTACTCAAAGCTAAGTTATTATATGGACTAGAGCAATTAACCATTCTTGTCTCAATGGTTGCTTACTTAAGAGTAAACACTTCCGGAATCTGCGCATGAAAATTGCCCTTTGGCTTTTCAGCTTACCTTTCGGACAACCTAAGGTCTACCCTAGTGCTTTAAAAAGTTGGGTGGGG